CCTGGAAGCAGATTTCAGAAACCAGAATCGCAAGTAAAAACGAAACGATTGTTATGGAGGATTTCAGATCGCGAACCTGAAACGTTGATCCGATTCGAGGGAGGATAATGAAGCTTACCGAAGAAACTTTGGTTCGACGAAGAAGACTAGTGCAGATGAGCGGTGAAGTTGTTGGAAACTTGAATGGTTACTTCAAATAGCCTCTCATTTTTGTTATTACCCATTTCTTCTACAAAAAAAAAAATTGACTTGTCTCTCTCGATTGCTAAAATTGACAAAAATGGCCCCCTTATTTTATATTTTATATAATTTTGGCCCCTTGATTGGTATTTTGGAAGAGCCGGTTTGTTTTGGTTCACATCCAAATTCTAGAAGAGAGTTCAAAAGTGAGTTTAAATTAACCAGATAGTGTAATTGTCTAAATGTCTAGTATCCCAATAGTGAAGTGGAAAGTTTTAGGCATTGGTGTTGGACATTTTAGACCAATTGTGTTGGACTAAAATGCATATTTGCATAATTTGGTTGATTGACTTAATCAAACCAAAGACCACGAGACACGACTTGATCTATGTATGACTGAGCAACATCGTACCTGCCCGACTGCCCGAATAGATTTTGAAAACTCGACACTAAATCAAAATCCACTTATAATCAAATAGTAACGTTAACTCGGAAAATATAAACTTTGTTGTTTTCTACCACCATATGATTACACCTTTAGGCATGCTGGTGAAATACGTCTGATATAAGTTAGAATAATTACAACAATTTAAAACCATTTTATAATAAGGTGCAAGTTGTCAATTAAACTGTGATATACAATAGCAAATTGAGAATAGTAAAGTATACGGTGAAATTGTTATGTTATCTTCTTCTGTTAATTAAAATGTTAATTTATCCATGAAATACAAATTATACAGTCATGCATACACAAGAAAACATAACTGACACTTTGACAAGTATATTCTAGATATTGGCAAAATAAAATACAATTATCTTGTTGATAACACAAATCAAGAGTATTTGTTTCAATAATTCTTATGAGTTACTTTCGCTCTGAA